TACTAGCGACCCGCCCCGGCTTCGCACGGGTGCAATATGCATGTATTATACATACAAACCTTCCTTAAGAATCACTCTATCTATTAAAAAAAACCGCATCAAAATCCGTTGCGTAGTTTTAAAGATCTAAGCATACATACGGACATACAGCGAAAGCGACTTTGTTTTATACTATGTATTGATGTATTGATGTTCCCAAGCTTATAAGCTATACAACAAAACAGTTTCATTGATAACCGTCCATTAGTTCAGGTGATTACCGTGTTTAAACAGAAAAACGAAACAGTTTTTTTTAGAACAAGTTATTAGTTATATTTTTTTTCTAAGGTTCATTATCTTGTTATTTTAATAACATTGCAGCTTATTGTACTAAAATATTCCGAGTATCATATTCTCCTTTGCGATCCTAGTAAGCCGGACTCAGTATTATTTATTAAAAGTGCATGTAAACCTGCATAAATTCGACATCAATTAATATTCCCCACATAATTCTCGCTGACGTTAAGGTGATAGCGAAGTGACTCGTACGAGTGTACTCTAAGTGATATAATATTACGATATGTAAACCGATAATCTCAATTCAGATTCCCTTCACCCTTTTATGGCTCTACTTAATGTTTGCGATGTAAAATCGTCGTTAAAATCGAGCTTATGTTATACTCGATACCTTTTGATATTCAACTTGGCTATTAGATCTTTATGGCAATGGCTTATGAGGTTTACGGCTACTTAAGAAAACTCCAAATGTTAAGTTTGTTAGAATACGGATTAGATGTAGCTAAGAGGCATGAAATCATGTCGTTATCATTTGATAATCTCCTATTACCTTGAATAAAATGTCTCGCGGAAAAGCAATGCTGAAGTTCACTTAAGGAAGTAGGATAGGTATATACGAGATTCACAAGAAGCTACGAAATCAATAACATTAGGGTTGGGTTACATTCATGGCGCTGAATATTTTATAACAGCAAAGTAACCTTCTATTACTTACTGTAGGGATCAGGGTCACTAACAGTCAACTAAATAATAATACAAACACAACAAACTAAAAGAGTTTATTTATGAATGAACATTACGGAACACGAGACGTTAGAATTCACGTCTCTGGCGAAATAGTGACAAGCGTTGCGGAAGGCTGTTAGTGCTTCGAATGAAGGTTCTACCGGGGGTGAGCCGGTGAGGTGCGGGGGAGAGGTGGAGGGCCACGCGTGTGCCTTGCGCAACCAGCGGCGCCAGTGAATGGAGTCTCCGCGACGCGAGTGGGCGTTGGTTTTTATCAATGAACGGCGAATTTGTGGCGTACGCACGACGGCACCGCGCGTGTCACGGACGCCAGCCACGCCGCGCCGTGCTGCGTGAACCGCGTCCTACCGACGCGATGCACCATCAACCTTGCTAATGGAAAATGTCAACACACGTTCACATACTGTTGCGTTAGCTCACTTCACTACCTTTCATTAACACTGCTCAGAATTCCGCGCAATCCCAGTATCTAGAAACCTTATGAATTGCGAAGTGTATGTCAATCAACGACGAATGATATTCACCTAGATATTAGTTAGCTACTGAATGCTGATGCAAATGCTAGTTCCAAGACTTTAAGAGCAACAGGTGACAGTAAATTCTTAGATACATTTTTGGTTTACTTACATAGGACGAATACACTCATCCCACAGTTTTTTTCGAAATCTTAAACATAAAGGTTACTAGGCTTATCTTTGAGAGGCTACAACAATAATATCTTGTCTTGTCTGGATTACGGGAAACGACCCCTGCTTTTGTCCTTCGCTACGTAGGTTGGTAGGTCAGGTGGCTCTTGAAACCCACGGGAAAGATTATATACAGCGAACAAGAAAACTATATTGTACCAGTACCTACTTAAGTGTTAAATCGGAAAACTAAAAAAAAAATGTTCCTTTTATTTGGAACAATACTCCCACATGTAGATCTTATTTATTTTACTTAGAAGTACATTATTGACACACTTGTCTATCATAAATCGAAAATAATTGATTGCGACTTCAATATTACGCATAATATCACGTACGTAATTGATTACCGGTACAATTAATAAATTAAATGGGTTCATTTAAAGCGAGCGTCTCGTTCCTCGGCGTACATCGTGCTTACATTTTCATATTTATTGATGTATTCAAGCGAATTTGAAAGGAAATAATTAATTAATTTAATTGCTTCGGCACCGCTAACGCCTCCAGTTAGCCTTCGTTCAGATTTAACCATGACGTCGCGCGCGCAGCTATCTCGGCCATTGAGAAACGAGCCGCGCATGCGCTGTATTTGGCGATGACTACATTAGAAACTCTCTTAATGTAACTTTATCTAACGCACTTGGCCTTATTTATTTAACAATAAAGCACGCGCAGATAATGTTTACTTGATTATTTTCGAGTTATTTGATATTGTATTGTCTGTTATCGGGCGCTGCCTATATTTGTAAGCAGCTTTCGGTCAATAGGCAGGTAATATTTTCTGTGAGTTATTAAGTATAGATACTACTTTATTCTAATGATTTATAGTTAGTTTGTTACCGTTGTCCGTTTATGGATCAAGTGCTACTTACATTATAATAAGTTAAGAGAAACCCACGTTATCACAGTTACTTTAAAAATATATCTACAATATTTTATTCAGTTTTTTATCGATCATGCGACCAGACAAGGGATACCTAAGTCGCGTCGTATACAGTTTTAACTCAATGTCCATTATTTTTATGTCTAAGAACCTAATTCACGATCGCTCTTGCTTCAACCTAAGATCCAGAGAAAAGGTCATCCTACAGAAACCTTTACCTTTAAATTAACTTAAGTATCTGAAATTAATTGTAATATATGTATTTAGTTGTAATGTTAATTAATAATTTCCGCCTGTCTAGTGTGTAGGCTGAAAGCAGCCAAGGATTTACTCTACTTCCTGAAATGCGTGAAAATACATATAAGTACCTACTAAGTACTTCAAAATTATTTGATAACTTTCAATAAGACTGATAAAAGGTAACGGAAAACATCCTGAGGAAACCTGGGCTTATAATTTATAATTATATGTTTGAAATTGCTAACCCGCATTGAGCAAGCATGGTGATCATTAATGCTGAAACCTTCTCCGTGTAAGAAGCGCCATTAGGTCAGCACTGGTGATGATAATGATGAATGCTAATAAAACTGCAGACTATCTAGTTGAACGGTTTCTCTTGCAACCGTTATATAAGGAGCTACATAATATACTACGTGGACCTTATATCAACTGTTAAATACTTGATATGTGTTTCAAACGCACTACAGATTTACTTAGACACCTTATGTTTTTTTTGCGGGACAAGCCTACCACTAACCTCTGCAACTTCACACCGCAACTGACCGTGATCAATCGCTGTAAGCCAGGATCTACAGTAGACACAAACATGGAAACACCGGAGCACTGAAGTCTGGTGCGTCTCAGGGACATGAATAAATATCTCCGCTATGAAATGAATCAGAAGATACTATAAGAGGAGAATAAAAAAACGACAATTTCCCCTAGTATCTTTAGTTTATAAAAAACTTTATATATTACCTGAGTAGTTTGGAAAGTA